GGCCTGTTTGAGGTGTTACTGCAGCTTCCAGAGGGCTGCTGATCGTTCTCAGCTGCTTTATAACACAGTGGTGAAATATGCAGTCTCTCTGTCTGTGAGTGTCCAGGACTCTTGTGGACTCATGTTCTCAGACTTTTTCTGCACATCCCTCACAGCAAGCAGTACTTCATCTGTCATCTGTATCTGTGTGCATGTGTGTGCATGTGTGTGCGTGTGTGTGTGTGTGTGTGTGTGTGTGTGTGTGTATGTAACATGTCTTTCGGCAGGTCGCAGGAAAGAAATACACCCTGTGGGATGACTTCCTTGTTGAGGGCAGAAGTAGCGGTCAGCAGGAAATGACCTTGGGAGATCTGCTCCAGTATATCAAGGTGCGGCCTCCTTATTCCTCTCAGCAAGGAAACACACACTTTCTTCACACCCAGTGCTATACTGAGTGCAAATTTAATGCATGTTTTTTTTCTAAACCTGTTCACCTTCCTTCAGTGCACACAATGGCCATTGTTTGAAATGACTGGCCACTTTACACCTACCATTCACAGCTTCGGGACTCTATTCTGCCATCCTAAAGGAAGGTCATGCTGAACCATCAACTTTCCTTCAATGGCTGAAGAATGTTTGGAACCCTTTGCCCAATTCACATGTGTACTATTCATGCATGCTGATCATGCTGAGAAAAGACCTCAGATAAAGTCTATGCTCTTGTACTACTGACAAAGAATGATAGATATGCCTAAAAAACACTTTAGGCTCCAGAAAGTTACTGGTCCCGACCATGAAATAGTCCAGCACACACACCCCGTAAAATAAAATTTTTGAGATACTACGTATTAATTTGTGAGTTTTAAAGGTGCTGGAAGGCAGATTACCTTTGGACAGAGCCAGGCTAGCTGTTTCACCCTGTTTCAAGTTTCTTAGTGCTGAATTTAGTTAGCCAGCTGCTCTTGCTAGCTTCATATTTAGCAGACAGACACAAGAGTGGTAATCTAACTAATAAGTGTATTCCTCTTACTTATCTTTATGCAATCTAGACCCTAATCATTTGAAACAACTGGATAAAATCTTATTTCTTTAATAACTAAAACGCTGTCCTGTTCAAAACATGTCAGGACTGTTCCAATGATCAGCACTGTTGGCATTATTGCGTTTTAAATGGCTTATGGACTTAGTTTCTTACCTTATCACCATTAATGGAAGATAAGAGCAACAAGGGATACTACTACTGACTGATGTCAAGCTGTCACTTCCACCATCCCATAGATCAATCATTCATATATATATATATATATATATATATATATGTGTGTGTGTGTGTGTGTGTATAACCTGTCCCACTGCTCTTACATATTCAGGACACTTGCAACAGAAATGTCTGAACACATCTCCTCCTGTTTTTTATGCACACACCTTCTTGCCTTGAGCTGACGTTTACTGATTCTGCTGGCGTTTGTTCTGAGGAGGTGAAGGGAAAATGATTTGGCAAGTGATCTCATTTGCTCCAGGTTTTCTTTAACCTTTGACTGGCTGGGTTCCCCCTGGCTTGTTTGTGGAGACACTGAAGAGCTTCCTGAACTGCTGAATTTGTTTAAGGCCACAGGTCATCGTCAGACCTTTAGCTGTACAAACTGCTGTCTTTACAGAAATTACAAAGTGCATGCAGTCGATCCACAACTCTCATATCTTTTATCTTCTTATGCCTTGTTATGTTTATTATATTGTACTGTGAATTTAATTATTTGTCTTTGTGCAGGAAAAACATAGCTTGAACATCAGCATGCTCTTCCATGGAACAGCTATCTTATACAACGGACAAAAAGATAGGCTCAAGCTGAGGTATGTCAAGTTAAGACTAAGATGCAGTGCAGTTTTGCATATGCATGAATACACATGGCACGTAACCTTGCAAACATAAACAATCACAATATGCAGCCTCCCTTTGTTTGTTTAGAGGCTAATGGCAGGATGAGGTGTTTCCTCTGTGCCCGTGAGGAGAGAGCCTGTTGACACACTCACATGCATCACTGAACGCTGATGATTGAGACTGCTCCTACTCAGGTGTCCTTCTGTTTGTTGAGGGAGAGCTAAACAGTTAAAATAGTGTGAACTTTTTTGCTTCTGAGATTCCACGCTGTTCAGGCCTGTTCAGCGCTACAGCACATTAAAGCCACGTCTCTACGCCCCAGGGTGTTTTAAATGAATCAGTCACAGCGGAATATGCGCCTTCAGGGATGTTTTGAATCCAGGAGGAGGGCAAAAAAAGTAATAAATCAGGTTTAACCTTGAAAGTATACAGGCAATAATTCACTGGGCAGATTGAAATATTTGATTCTAAACATTCTTTGCTTCAATTTTGCTGTGAGGTCTTCTGAAACAGACTGCATGCATGTCCCTGTTTTTGACACTCAAGTCTCTGGAGAGCTGGTGTTATGGTTAGATTAAGCTACAGGGGGGAGAGGGGCTGTGCTGGGTATGTGGACAGCAGGCCATACATGACAAATCCCCTCTCCAGTAGCCACTTCCTGTGCAGTTGCCCTGCCTCAAGCTTCCTGTGTTGTGAAAGGGGAATGCAGAACATACAGATAACATGAATATCATGTATTATTTACTTGTATGGCTGATATTATTCTGTATTTTTGTTATTGTCAACATTTGAGATGAAATGGTCAGTTTCTTAATACTTTGTGACTTCCTTTACCCTCTTGGTGGCCCCATGCCCATTCATTCCTACATTCCTACTTTTAAAAAGATATTAAATAGTTTCCAGGCACTGTAGTTTTTAGCAAACTTCTCATAAACACGAGTTAATCGTGTATTTGTTGAGAACTATTTTCAGCCACGCATTAATACACATTTGGTGTGCTAGTTCCAGCAGCAGGATGGTAAAGGCATATCTGTTGTCTCACACTACATGCTATATCAGGCTTTGGAGACATAGCCAATACTAGGATGAATTCACTGTTGGTTTTGGTCTTTTTATAGGGTTTGTTGATAAAGATAAGATAAGAAAAAGCAAATGGTGAAAGAACAATATGCATGCCCCAAAAGCTAAATTAATGTAAATGTATGATAAAACCCCAGACTAAGGTTACATATATTGTCTATTTTTGCAGTGTGTCTGATGTGGTGAGGATGGTCACCAAGACACATATCCCTCCACACAAGAAGATGCTAGAGTTGATCCCCTCATTTGCTGAAGATGAGGAGTGTGAGTTAGTCCCAACTATCAGATACCTGCTCTTGTGATGCCATCAACACCAAGTTTCCACAAGGTTCTAGTGAAAATGTGACAAAGCAAACACAACACTCCTGTGAAATCATGTCCGTTGAAAACACCCTATTTTGTTGCTTCAGCTGTTGTTTACAAAGATTAATATCCAAATGTTTTTTTCCATAATCTGTCTATCTATTTCTTTCATGTCATTCCATCAATATTTTTGCGTCTATCATTGCACTGGCATGTTATTTTAGTGTTCACATTTTGATCATGTAAAGTGAGTGATTCTATAATCACACTGTATAATGTAGTGTACTGTCTCTTAATCATGCCCCAAAAAATACAACAAGATGTACAAAGATTCATATCCATTTCCTCATCCTTTTAATTATATGGCAAATGAGGAAACTTAACAAACTGTAATTTCCTTAATACCAGAAAGTTGTGTTAGCTTTTGGTTTTCATTTACATGTAAAATGTGCCTTTTGAGAGGTCAGGATAAGAGGTTGTGAAGATGCTTGCCAAGGCATATGGATTAGATCATCTGGCACTTCTGGGGCAGTGCTGGCTCTGTTTCAAGGTTTAATTCAGGTCAGACTGAGCACAATGTTGAAGGGGTGCAGTCAGAACAGGCAGCTGGCACAGTAGGTACAGTGCTTTGACGATTTGGGGTTCTCTTGCCATCTGGACACAGCTGTGTTGTGTAAATCCTGCTCCCAAGCACACGTGCAGCCCTGCACTACCAGAAGATTCTCAGAGCTGGTCAGAGTGGAGAAGCTGGACTCATCTACAAGGCCTTCATCTGTCCTATCCTTACCCTTTTCCACACCCTCACATTGACATGGTGTCATCTATACAACATTCTGCTCCCCCAACTGGCTGTTTGAATATTTTTAATGAAGAATCCTCTCTAACATGATCACTGCAACTATGGATGGGTGTAGTTGAATCACTGCATACGTTTGTCTGTGACTGTTTGTATTTAAATTCAGTTTGAACAATACAATAAAAATGTCTATGGGGAACCATGTTATATCTGTGTACTTCACTAATAGACTTCAGTTCCCTTACCTTCAGTTCACGCACATATATTACTACAATAACCGCACCACACCCAATCCTTTATTTTTAACCAGAAAAGTGCCCTTTTGAATTTACAAAGCTTTAGAGCATCTATTGTGTGTGTTTCTTCAAACTGTTGAGCTGAGATGTTGATAGAATGTGTATTTTCTTTAACAATGTCTGCAATGGCACCTCACCTTCACCCTAATAACATCACGTTAGAGCTGGGCAATAAAACAATAATGATAACTATCGTGATATCATTTTCCTTAATTACATTATAACAATTGTTTGATTCAGTTCATTTGAATCACGAACAAATTAGCATTTATTTGTTCTATTAAGATATTTGTTTTGGTGAGGAAAAAGCCCTGAAAGATTTTACATAATTGTACTCATGCATTGTCGTTTTGAATGTTCTACCTCAGATTTGTGAAATGATTCACTGTTTGGCAAGACCAACAATTAACCATCTGGTTTCATAGAGCTTTGACAGCAAAAATCTACCTTTAAACTTGAAAGAAATAATTATTTGAACATTAAAATTATCAATATCGACTGATTATCGTCATAACAGTTTTGGCCATATCGCCCCGTTCTACATCACGTCTCATGTCAATCACGGATTAAGAAGAAGCTTAAAATCTGTCAAGCACAATGACAGATGGCTACAATAATAAGATTTTTACATTTAGCACAGCTCAAACTCAGGTAAGAACAGAACACATTTTCATTAAATCCCAAAAACTTTTATTCCAGATTTATCAACATTATGGACAAAATGCTGTGATGAAAATAGAACCATCTTGTTTTAATTTGTGTTAAAGAGTCAGTCCGCAGTTACAGCCTCGCTTAAATGTATCCAATAATGTCATTGCATATGATGGGCTGTCGGCTGCCTGTCTTCATGAGTGCGGTAAACTGGTAAAAGTCAGTGTCCAGTTGATGCAGGCCTGTGTGGGACTGGTGAAAGAAAGGTTTGAGAGCCTGGCGTCCCACAGGACAAGACATCCGTTTGGGAGCCTCAGCAGCCCTACTGACCCTTGTGGAGTCTGCTGGCCTTGGCCTCACTTCCACACTTTTAGACATCCCTGCCAGTTTGCGGCGCATGTTGACCAAAATATCTTTGGCAAGGCGCCGACCCGCACTGGGCTTTAGTTCTGCTGGCTCAGGACTCTCTGGTAGGTCCATCCAGTTCTTTATTAGGTCAGCAAAGCTGTTGTCCCCGAGAACCAGGGGCTGTCTGTTCCTGCTGCGGCTCAGCAGCGATGTTGTCCAGTCCTCTGGGTCACCGGCCTCAAATGACGTCCAGCGCTCCAGACAGGCGTCCGACGTTGATTTTGGCCTGATTCGGCCAGAAGGTCCTCTGTTTGTGCGGAGGCAGGCAGAAGAGGAGACTCGCACATTTCTGGTCCTCCTCAGCACCACACCTTCATCCTGCCAGGAAGCCTCAGAGTAACCCGAGTCAAAGTCCAGACTCTTTTCACTGCTTGGGGAGCCTTGTGTCAACCGCTCATGTTCCTGCTGCTCTTCGTCTTCTTCCAGTGTGCTGGCCAGGCAGCATGCAGAGTCATATGTGCTGGCTTCACTGGCATCAGAAACACATAGACGAGTGAGTCGCTCTTGCTGTGCCCTCTGTTTGCAGAGCCGTGTTACAGCGAAGGACTGAGCACATGGTTCACTCAGTGGCCTTGGCCTGCTTATCTGCTTCAGGTCCTGCAAGGATCTCATCATGTACTGCATTTGCTTACCGGTGGCAGTCAGTAGAGTCTCCTAAACACAGCTACACAAAGAAAAAGACACAAAGAGTTAGTGGTGCAGTCAGAATTTAAATAAAGTCTATTTTAAAACAGCGCTTCTAACCAAAATGTTATGGTCGACTTTTGCAGCCATCTACAGAGCTGGCTTCCAAAAATATCCCATCATGCCCTGGCCGTCTAGCTGAGACACAGTTTCCTGTTTTATTTCCAGAACGGGGCCAATAAGATTTTTACCAGCTGAGATCACTCTGCTCTATGACCATATAACAAGAAAAGCATTCCTGACAAACCTCGGAGGAGCTTTATGGAGACCACCCCATGCAGTATGATCCCAGAAAATAAAAGAGTTAATGTCTTTATGAACAGGATGCACATTTTATACTGAGAAGAAACTCTCCCTGCCTCCTAAAGCTAGAGGGGAAGTTTGAACAAAGCAGAGCTGAATCATAGAGTCCAGAGGCAGATATCCTCTCTGGACTCCGCTAACTCACAGGATGTTGCCAAGTCTGTATTATAAAGCAGGAAATGACAGCAACATTTTGGAATTACAGAACGACTATGTATTAATTATGAATCACATTATCTTCCAGCCTGCAGATAAAGTGGAATCATTGCAATCCAGCTGATGCAACATAGCTTTGTGTAGTTCCATCTAAACCTAACCCATACAACAATTTAAAAAAATAATTACAATTTAACCAAGCTTCCCTGTGGCAGAAAGCAGATGCCCACAAATAAGTAGTTCAACTTTTTATCATATAATATGTTTTTCAAGTTTTTATAATATTTAGTTTGCTGAGCCTCCCTGTCCTGCTAGTATTTGGCTCGGAGCAGTAAGGACACCACACATGATGTTATCACAGCTGTGGGTGCTGAACCATTTGGCCCCTGGGGGAGACTTCCACAGAGACATCCTCAGTGGGGCACTGTGGTCAGTCTGCCCCTCTTAAAATGCCCTGTTCCCCTTGGCTGCCTTCACACAACGAGGAGAAGTGATTCAGCCAGTTGTGTGCAATTGGCAAAAAAAACAGTTTGGTTGAAATAACTGTGACTTGCGGGATTAAAACAGTCCAGCTTTCTAAAAACTCCAAAAAGAACAGAATTTGAAGGGAAGACTTTATCACTACAAAAAATACATAATTCCTTGATGATCCTTTGCAATCACAACCAAGCCACTGCAGTGCAGCTGTCCAAATATATCAAAGCACGTGCATACTTGTGAGTTAATATCTGTGGCCTGAGTTTAAAATCCCGTTAATTGTTTCTGCAACAAAACAACAACAATTCATTAAATAAATGATGGGCGTCTCTCTCACTCCTTTACCCTTTTTGAGACATATGGTCATTTTTCAGTAATAACACTCACCTCTGCATTTGGTTCAAATCGAATCCGAGCACAATCAACAAGTCCAAATATTTACAGCTGATCAGACGTTAAGTGTCTCCCTGTACATTCTCTCCTCTGAGCCAGATGAGGGTCTGTCAGCGGACTTTGACGATGCAGAGCTTTTTGCTGCAGCGAATCAGCGGAGGGCAATCCAAAATCAGCCAATAGGAAGTCGCCTGAAACAAGATACCTCCCTGTGTAATTGCAGCGTGTCCCACTGTAATTGTGCTGTGGTTGTACTACAGTATTGAGATCCTACATCTGGAGTTGGATCATTTTTAATTAATACATTGACTCACTGATCACAAAACCTTTTAAAACTCTTCCATTTATCCATATACTGTTAAATATCGCAAATCACTTACACTGATTATTGTATTTAATAATTGTTTAATTATAATTATTAATAATTTAATGTTTTAATTAGTATATTTTTAAGATCAAAACTTCTAGTTTCTCGACGATGTGTACATTAATACGGTTTACACGTTTGTAAAAGTTGTTTTGAACAAATGCTGTGACTGAAAAACTTCTGCACACTGATTTACTTAAATCTACATGTCGCCACCTTGTGGTTCTTTGTAAACGGGACCTCCCATATTACCATTATCTATTGTCTCTGCATATAAACCTTTTCACACCATATGTTAAGGTCTGAGCAACATATAGGCCTACCTCCATTCACCATTCTTCTCTTAATTGGTTTATAGAAATGCAAACAAGGTATTGGGATTAAGTGAAGTTCACATTTCATTTGCAAATGAGCAAACCATCCGCATCTACACCTCCTCGCCTCTTTGGATGTTGACAACTCTCTGTATTGTAATACAGTGGTGGGAGACAAGCTCAGAGCCTTTACTTTGGTAAAAATACCAATACAAAGAGGTACAAATGCTCAATTACAAACAAGAATCATGCATTCAGAGGGCTATCAAAGTAAAAGTACAAAAGTATTATGAGATAAATTAAAGGATCAAGAGTAGAAGTACAGAGTCTGTAAAAAAAAAAAAAAAAAAGGCTGATTATATATTATTATTACTGTTTCCCAGTTAAAGGGTTGAGGTTCACTAGGCTTGCTGTTAGTCCAGACTTAACCTTGGGGTTGGGCCCCTCCAAAAGGTCACAAGATAAATCTGAGGGGTCAATGAATAATGATGTAGGAAAGGAGAAAAAAACAAAGTTATGCTACACAAATTTCTACCCATTTTTCAGACTTTTCCATAACCTTTTTTGTTAAATGTTGGATATTTTTACCTCTCTGGGCAGTTTTGTAAATCAAACCATCTAATTTATACACATCTGCACAATAATATGGGGCCAATTAGACAGTTGAAAAAGGTTGGGAACCACTGGTTTAATCTTTAGAAAAGGCTGCATTGTATTATATGTAATATCTGAAAGTCAAAAGTATTCAGCAACTATATTTGCCGAAAAAAATATAGAGTAGAAAATACAATATTTCCCATTGAAATATAGTGGCATTTCACTAGCAAGGACCACACAATCAACAGGTATGATTAAATGATTTATTGATGATCGAACAGAAGATGTATGAGGCTTGCGGTTGCCGAAGAGACATTCGAAAGCGTTGTGGGGAAGCTACGATAGGGAAATCCGCCGTAGCACCCTGGCACGACCGACCCCCTTATAACCCTATGGAGAGGAAGAAGATCAGGAGGCAGGACAGAGAAAGGCGTAGGGGTGAGGGATGCAAGATACGACAGCGAAGGGTAGGAGTTAGGACGTGTGGGTATTTATGGAAATGTTGGCGATGACGTGTTTGATGTGTGGTCCCGCTCCTGAAACTCTGCTATATCCACTCGCCATACTGCTAATTAGCACCACATAAAGGAAATGCCTTGCATAAAACACCCAATAATTATACTTAAATACAGTACTTGTATATGTACAAAGTTAGTTTTCACCAATGTCACCTTTCAAACAGCAGACCTCTGACGTTTTTCAGTGACAGGTGAGAGGAATTAAACACAAATCACAATTTGTACCCACTCTGTTTTACAGTGCAATGCAGGTGCAAAACCTCTCTTACGCAATATTCCATAACTGTGCTCTGGTTCATGGTCTTTAAGTCTATGTTTGACAAAAAAAAAGTAGTTTACTTTGAGTAGACTTCTGGGCCTGTATTTATCAAGCTTCTCATAATTACTCATAAGAACAGTGCTAAGTACTGACTTAAGAGTAAAATAATTCTTGGCTCAAAGCTGTGCTTAAAAGTTAGTTATCAAGCATCATAGTCCTAATTTGAGTGAAGTGTAGGACTAAACCATCTATTAACCATCTAAGTGTCAGTTTTAGTGCTGATTCACGACACTTAGATTTTGATTGACGATGTAGCCAAGGACCAATGACATGATAGATTTCCTTATTTAAGAATATTCTCAGATAAATTCACGTTGAATGGTGAAATTCCTAAGAGGAGTTTATATTCAATACACATTTTTCAAGATAATACATTATGATATGGGCCTACACTTTAATAAATGAAAGATTTTAAAAAAAGTTTATCTTCATATGAGCGCCATAAATTGCGCCTACTACTCCTGTGAAGTTATTTGCATGAGTTGTGTTTGCTTCTGTCGGATTACGGGGGTGTTGTTGGGAAGTCGATTAAACTTTAAATGTGTGGAGCTCTGAAGCTGAAGTGCCATAATTGTTTCCATGACTATTCGGCTTATTGATGGTTGTGACGGGCCAAAATCATCAGCATTGCTGCGTTTGTTCTGTGGCAAATAAACAAAAGCTTCATCATCACCTTCAGTTTGGCTGAAAAGGCATTAGTGCGTAAGGTCAGTGGTGAGATGGCGTCCCTCACCAACTCGCTGATGCCTGCGCTGTCCGACCCCATCTTATTAACTGCGCGTCATCAAATAATTCAGTTCACAGTGCCATCACAAGACCTACTGGCAACTCCTAACCACGCGAGAGACCTCTCGAGCTGTCTTAAATAACTGGGAGAGTAAGAGTGATTCTTAGCTTTAAGAAATTTGATAACTCGCTTTTATTCCTAAGTTTAAAAGTAGGAGTAAGTTTCATGGATTCTCAGCACTTAAGACTAAAATAGCACTTTGAGAAGCCTGATAAATACCAGCCCTGGTCAAACATGGAGAAACCGAATTATATCCTTTTTGGGCATTTTCTTTTGACACATCACAATGCAGAATAAAATATCATGTCACCAAACTTTTATTTACATTTAACAAGTGAATGACTTTTATCTTAATATTATGAACGAATATCATCCATTTGTCTCTGTGTTGTGGTGCATCTTAAATGATGGGTTATGTGAACTGAAGTGAAAGTAGAAATAGCCCTAATTCACACAATGAATATGGCATGTCTCTAAAGAACAAGTGCAAACAGATGTCAAGGCACAAACATATATAAAAAAAAAATGTAATGAAACAAATAGCACAGAACAATCCATGTTATGAACAGACATAACTACTTAAAAATCTTGCAGGAATCTTAAAAGTGACATTTAACCGTTTCTGTTTTGTTTCTTTAAAGAAGTTACTTAAGGAATGTTATTCAGTCTGTGGCAGATACAAGCTAATCAATAGACAGTCATGCAGAACAACACACTAATACAACTGTGAATATTGATTCTGTGTAAACATTGTACGAAAAACATTTCCCCTTCATCCATTTTTTCATTCTCCATGCTTGTTTGTTTTCTTCTAAAAATAAGCTCTGTGCAGTCAAAAGGTTCATAAAATGCCAACATTAGTTAACATAAGTTAATGTGATTTTTATAAAAAGTTGTTTCTGTATGTATTCTGTATTCTCTTATTAAACTTAAACTTCAAATGCAAAAAGGGAAAGTAAAATGAAAACTTAAAATACTCAAAAAGAGATCTGAATACATAACAAGACTCATCAACTCAAACAACTACCATTTAAACAAGTGGTTCTCAAACTGGTTCTTGAAGGCCTATTAAGGATCCTTTAAATTATTTTTTTTCATTTGCCATGTGATAATGAGATAAGGGTCATTTTTATGATAAGCTTTACAACAATTTTCAACAATTATTTTCCACTTAAGCCAGTCGATTAATACACTTTGTTATATATCTAATTTTAAAACAGCACTTCTCAAGACAGTGCCCTTGATTTTTAGTGACTCTCATCCAATAAGGGGTGTCCTTGGTCAAATATCTGTTTACAGGAGCTCACTGTGAATAGTATGAGCACCTCTGAGCGAGAGCAGTAAGAAATATATCAAAAATTAAAAATGACAAAATTGACAGAGAATGTGATCGTTGCAAATCAGTGATTGTTGGAGTTATTGAAGGTTTCTCCTCTATGAATCAAGTCTGTTATGGTTTTCATTATGAAAAGCAGTAATCGTCACATGGCTGTTGCAGTCTCTCATGCAGTCTGTGCACATCGGGTATTATCCTGCAAGAACAGAAAGATGACAAAAAAAGCACCTTTAGACAGACAGAAAAATGTGGAGATAAGAGCTATTATTTCACTGTTTTAATGTACAAGGTCTTGAATTTATGTTTACTAATTTATCCTGTTTAAAAATCTGTGTTAGTGAGCACTTGTCCTTTGCCGAGATAATCCATCCACCTCACAGGTGTGGCATGTCAAGAGGCTGATCAGACAGCATGGGTATTGCACAGGTGTGCCTTAGGCTGGCCACAAAAAAAGACCACTCGAAAATGTGCAGTTCCATCACACAGCACAATGCCACAGATTTCGCAAGTTTTGAGAAGCGTGCAACTGGCAAGCTGACTGCAGGAACGTCCGCCGGAGCTCTTGCCCGTGAATTGAATCTTCATTTCTCTACCATAAGCCGTCTCCAAAGTCGTTTCAAAGAATTTGGCAGTACATCCAACCAGCCTCACAACCGCAGACCACCTGTAAATACACCAGCTCAGGACCTCCACATCCAGCATCTTCACCTCCAAGATTGTCTGAGACCAGCCAACTTCACACAGTCATTCAAGAGGAGTGGACCAACATTTCAAAGGCCACAATCAACATCCTCATCAACTGTGGTGGTCACACCAGGTAGTGACTGGTTTCCAGACCCCCTTGGACCCCCTCAATACAATGAAACGGCACATTTTCGAGTGGCCTTTTATTTCACACATTTTGACAGATTTGTAAATAATAGTTGAGAGAAATAGGCCTTTTGTGTACATAGAGAAAGTCTTAGATCTTTGAATTCAGCCCATGATGAATGGGGGCAAAAACAAAAGTGTTGTGTTTATAATTTTGTTCAGTGTATATATATTTGTCTGTGGTGCTCTTAAAAAGTCAACAGCCTTTGTGGGCGGCTGTGGCTCAGGAGTAGTAGGAGTAGAGCGGGTTGGCCGTTAATCGGAAGGTCGGAGGTTCAATCCCTGGCTCCCCCTGCTTGCGTGTCGAAGTGTCCTTGGGCAAGATACTGAACCCCGATTTGCTCCTGGCGGCTGTTCCGCCAGTGTATGAATGAGTGTGAATGCTAGTTTCTGTTTGAGCACTTAGGCTAAGTGTATGAATGTGTATGACTGGTGAATGCAGATGTAGTGTAAAAGCGCTTTGAGTGGTCGAAAAGACTAGAAAGGCGCTATACAAGTACGGAGCATTTACATTTACTTTACCACAGACCTCATTATACTTGTAAAGTCACATCAATTTAATTATATAACCCAAAATCCCAAATTTGTTTCAATATGTTCAAAATACCTTTCCAGTCGTTTATTATAGAAAATAGGTGGTGTAATAAATGTGATTTAGACTAGCAACTAGTCTAACAATTACTTTCATTATTGATAATGCTGCCAATTGCTTTCGTGATGAATCAATTATTTGTTCAGTCTATAAAATGTAAAGCTGTGTTCTATCAGTTTACTATTATAGAAGGGTAAAAAAACCAACAAATATTTACTTTCGAGAAGCCAGAGCCAGAGGGTTTTTGGTGTTTTTTGCTTAATAAATTACCTAAACAATGAATCAGTTATCAAATTGTTGCCAGTAAATCTTCTGTCGATCGATTAAGTGACTAATTGATGAATGGTTCAGCTCCATTTCCACCATGGTGTCATATTTCCTACCTTTAGAAAAGACCACAGTCTTTCAGGTTATTCTTAATAATGACGTCGGTGACGGCGTCAAAGACAAACTGCACGTTCTTGGTGTCAGTGGCACAGGTGAAGTGGGTGTAGATCTCCTTTGTGTCCCTTTTCTTGTTCAGGTCCTCAAACTTGGTCTGAATGTAACTGGCTGCTTCATCAAACTTGTTGGCCCCTGGGGAAGACGAGGAAGTGATTTGTTATGAAGATTGTACTTTCTTATGCTTTGATTTGTTAGTAAGCCTGCACTGTGTATGTGGTTGCGCTACAGATGTTAACTATCAAAGCCCTGCTCTCAGGTGCAGCAAGGCCCCTGATATTCCACTGTGTACCTGTGTATTCTGGGAAGCAGATGGTGAGGGGGCTGCGAGTAATCTTCTCCTCAAAGAGGTCCTTCTTGTTGAGGAAGAGGATGATGGAGGTCTCGGTGAACCACTTGTTGTTGCAGATGGAGTCAAATAGCTTCATGCTCTCGTGCATTCGATTCTAAAGAGAAGCAAAATAGATCATGGACCTCCGCTAAGGCACAACAACACATCAGAGCTGCCACCTGGGGAAGATGTTGTTTCATATTTTAAAGAGCAATGAAGGTTCTTGAAAGCATCTTTTCACCAAGTCTCCTGAGCACGTCTTTAAATTCATAAGCAGTTCAAGAAATTGGATCAAATGGTTCAAGTCACTTGAAAAATTAGCTTTTGTTACATAATTACACTCCATTGGTTCAACTGTAAATGGATCGTTAAAGTCCATTAAGCCAATTTTACCACCTTGTGCTCTCTATTGTTAAGCTATAGTGAAGGAGGGATGGGTGCTGTCAAATACCTTGTAATGTCTTACAATCTAAACCTCATTCATACCTCATACCCCATACCTCATGCTGAAAATGAGCCAAAGAGCAGATTTATGAAGCCAGTTATATTTCTGTGCAGATTAAGACACAAACATGTCAGAAGGTGAATATTTCCTTACCATCTCCTCATCCTCAGCCAGCACCAGGTCATAAGCACTCAGTGCAACACAAAAAATAATGGCTGTGACTCCTTCAAAACAGTGGATCCACTTCTTTCTCTCTGAGCGTTGGCCTCCCACATCAAACATTCTGCAAAGGGGGTGAAGCAAAGGAGATTCATTGTGTGTTTCCACTAGTTGGGGAAGGAGGTCACAATGAAAGACAGTAAGGTGAAGCTGATACCAAATATGGCATTAAAGGGGGCATTTCAGGAAGAGTGATCCTGAAAAAGGAAGGGAGGAGAAAGTTAGGGTGATATTCCATCCTTGGATGTACATTAAGTTTTCATGAGGCTGCTTTGAGAACAAAAAGTGTCGGGGAGGTGTCCGTCAGATATCTGATAAAAGACTGCAGGGTCAATGCGGGCTACGAGAGGCAGGCAGGCAAGCCTCTATATTCAGAGCACAGCACTGACTAATGGGGAAGCTGAGAACTGTGATCGATGCTGTGAGCAAAACCCTACAGACAGCAAAGGCAACAACAGTCCACCACATCCAGGACAGCTGCCATATTTTGATGATGCAGAGGGCGAATATGAGCTTTCAGCGATCCCACAATCTGTTTATGTTAGCATGCGCCCAAAAAGCACCATTTTGATAAATCTAAATTAAGCCATTGTCAAAAGATGACATTTCTCCGTCTCTGTAAGTATTTCCTTTCCGCACTTAGTATGGCAAACAGGGGAGAATTGTGAAAACGTGACTTTCTTCTTATTGTTTGCCTCCATGTATTATTCAGGCCAAATATTGAGGCTGTGCCAGAAGGTAAATATCAGAGAGTATCAGGAAACAGGTCACACCAGAGCCATGTAGCTGCTTCTGTGTGTATGTGTGTGTGTGTATATATATATATATATATATATATATGTGTGTGTGTGTGTGTGTGTGTGTGTGTTTGTGTGTGTGTATATATGTGTATGTGTGTATATATGTATATATATATATATATATGTATGTGTGTATATATATGTATATAGTACAGATCTGTTTAGCTGATTTACAAAGTCTAGGGTATTTCACAAACCAAACAACTGAGTTCTGTTAGAATAAGATCATCTCTTGGTATAATTTCATACACACATATCTATACTCCTTGCTCTTTCATATAACATATTTTATATATTCACCTATACACTGTACAGGAATTCTCCTTCACTATAGGTCCTGTAACTGTATCTCTCGCACATCCTCTATTAAGAGATGTATCTATACATCCATTACTGTCCCACACAAGTGTTCAGGCTGGGTCAGAGCATATTTTATGTAAGACCTACAATACTGCATGGAGGACACGCTCAAATGTTAGCACTATATAAAGCTCTTGTTTTATAGAGAGCACGGTGCACAGGATCAAATTAATTTACTCAGCTCTCAGTACAATACTGATAGTGAAGCATTTAATTGTTGGTATAATTTGGCTTCTGAATAGCTGAGTTGTACATTTCAAGCCAGGAGGGTCAGATGACCCTCTATGCTATTAAGGTTTAGACCAAAATGAAGTCTAGCAAATTGTTTAGAGCAATTGTGGAGGCGGCTGGTACGGTGGTGTCACTGCTGATACTGATAGAGCCTAATTCAATGAAAACACTTGTGATGGCACACTCACATTTACCCAGTTACTTTAATATCCAAGTCAGGTTTTTGCCTTACTGCTTTCCCAAAATAACGCAAACAGTTAAATTTTATTCAGTATTGATCCTGTGTGACAACCGGCAGTTTTTTTGCAACCAAGCATCAGAGATGAGTGAACACTATGGGGTCATATTACCACTTGTGTTACTAAATGTCAAATACACCCTCTCACTGTGGGTGAGTTGCTAGGCGAGAGTTCCCTAGACTCTCACGTTGGTCGAAAATGCCTAAAGTGTTTGTTTTGATAAAAGGGTGACTGGGTGAAAGTGGATATGGCAGTGTGCTATTTTCATGTATGTATTTATTTCCAAAATATCTTAAGTCTACTAACATCAGGTCAGTGCTATATGGCCTTACTTGAAGTGCAATTCCTTGAAAGTGAAGTGAGTCTCTACAATGCCAGTGGTCTTGACCCGAGTTCGCAGCACATCCTGCTGGGAGGGGATGTAATCTGCTTTACCTATCCTCTCCATTTCATTCAGGTAACTAAGAGAGAGAGAGAGAGAGAGAGAGACATACAACACATGTAGGGGTAAGGAAACTGAATATTTTTGGGTTGTGGACAAAACAAGACAAACAGGGCTTAGGGAAACATTCATCCACATTTTTAACCATTTTGTAGACCAAACAACTAAACGATTAATTGAGAAAATAATCTACAGATTAAATGACAATGAAAGAAATCGTAAGTAGCAGTAATAATTAAGTTATTACGCAGGTTGGAGTCCAATACATCAGGTTTTATCCTCCCAGAACTGCAGCTCCAAACGGTCGTTGGGAGAAATCAGGGTTAATTCAACCTTAAACAACAGATTGTTTTGTTGTTGTGAAACAAATAACATATAATGCCTTTTAAGTGGATATGGCGAACTTGAAAGCCAAGTGGAGCTAGCTGCAGATTCAGGGGATACTTCTCTTTAGGTGAATCTCTATGACCGACCACTCTCACATTGTCACATTGTTTTCATATCGTCATTTGACACATTTGTTACTCTAGCGACATTGATTAGTGGCATATAATGCACAGTGCCTTTGGTTACCTGCTGGGATGCTAGTATTTGGCTCATTGCAGACTTGGAGTTCAGGAAGAGAGTTTAATATTGTTTTTTATGTCTGGGGATATAAACATGACTGTTGTCTTGCACGTAGCCCATTCACATTATTTCCCTGCAGAAGAGGCCTCAGTTAAAACTGTGGCTTGTGGCACACAAACAAGACACTGCAGGTATCATCCACACATCAACATCGCTTTACTATTCACTGAATCATAATACAGTATATATATATATTGTTGATATTGTTTACAGATTTGACATGCTCAGCTGCTTGCCTTCATTTGTCTGCACAAGCTAACCATACAAGTTTGATTTTCTGAAGTTGAATATTATCTGCTGGGTAGTTGATGTCCTAACCTGCTGCTGTATGTCTGGTTGTTTTACTGGGTTTCGATTTATCGATCTCAGTTCACAAAATAGATTACACGTAATACCTAGCATAAGGCTCTGTATCTAACACAGTTTTCAATTCAATTCAATTCAACTTTATTTATATAGCGCCAAATCACAACAACAGTTATCTCACAGCGCTTTTCATAAAAGAGCAGGTCTAGACCATACTCTATGATGTTATTTACAGAAGCCCAACAATTCCCACCCAGAGCAAGAACTAGGCGACAGAGGCAAGGAAAAACTTCCTTTTAAGAGGCAGAAACCTCGAGCAGAACCATGGCTCAGGGTGGGCGGCCATCTGCCTTGACCGGTTGGGGGTGAAGGACAGAGAGGGAGAGAGCGAGAGAGCAAGCGAGAGAGCCGGCAAGAGAGAGAGAGAGAGAGAGAGGGCAAGAGAGGAACAGAGAGAAAAAGAGAGGGATGGAAGGAGAGAGAGGGGAGGGAGGCAGCCTACACAATATACACACATAGAGGTACAGACAGTAAAGGCGATGTTGCTATAGACTAAATGAAAAATGGTATAGATATGTATAGTAGTGTTAATGATAACAGTCGTAATGTTAATGATTATAATAACAATAATAACAATAGGACTAGTAACAATAGTCGTTGCAGCAGAGGGTGTCGAGCAGGAACACGGGGGCAGCAGGTGACCCGCAGCCACAGATCCAGACTCCACAGCTCCAGAGCCAGAAAACCTGCAGGAAGTGATAGGAGGAGAGAGGAGAGGGACGAGAAAGCACAAGACTACCGGAAAGGGGAGAAGTTGTGTTAGTAACATGCAATAATGGGATGAGGTTTTCTGAGGGTAAATGTTTTATTGTCACTCCAATCTCTACCTTGCTTGCTTAGTGTACGCTTGTGGAGAGTGAGATGAGGTCAGTGAGTGGATGCCAAATATCAACTGTGCACATATTCTGTATTCACAAAAGAAATTCCTGTGGAAATGGAGGACTGAAATGTCTATGAGACTACTAAGGGATTACCACTAGACCCACTAGTAGTATGTACTATCCTTAGTGGGATTATTTCTATGGCAAGATCACAGACAGAAAGAGATATCGAGCATTGCAGTTGGACAGAATTTACCATTCATGCATGTCATGTATACAAAATAATACAAATGAATGAGGCAGTAGACTGACGAGAGTGATTAAATACATAATACATTATTAAACAAACACCCTTCTGTCTCATCATTGCAGCTATTACAAAATATTTCCAAATGGGATGAAAGACATCACACAAAGCAACATTTCTGACTTTTATGTAGCACTGCCACTGGGGTTTCATTATCACAACTATCAATTCTCAGAGTTATTTGGACAATTTTGCTTGAAGTTAACGCAATTTCTTGAGTCTCATTTATACATCCCTCATGACTCTGCTTATCAGGTTACAATATTAAAGAATCAAACCCAGAGAGGTAGAAAAAATCACTAACTGGAAGTTATTGGACCATCCTTCCGAGTCTCTATAGCTCCCTAGAGAAGTTAAAGACAGGTTTCATATGAGAGAAGCTGAAAGGGCTGCACCATTATTGCACCCTTTATATGATATCAACATAAAATGGATCAGCATAAACATCAACCAAATACAAACACCCAGAACAGTCCCACTGTCACTTTCTTTAGCTGTTTTATAATCGTTATAGTATTACTCCAGTGCTTCAGCTGCAAAACTCATTTCTAATAGGAATGACAAAGGTATGCAGGATGAGAAAAAAAAACCCACATTTGACAGGTGGCTGTGAGGTTTCCCACTTGGCCAAATTTATATTTATATTGGTGAAACAGAGTCCGGTGTATGCAGGGGCAGAATGGAAATTGATTGATGTACAAGTAGAAGAAGATATGTAGTAATAACTTTGATAATGGCAGCCTGAATTTAACAAAAGAGAGTAGAATATTAAAAATGATAGATTTAAGCAAGGTGGCACATGGCTTGAAGGTAATACTTTGTTGAATTAGAGAAAGGGTTTTTAGAAGAAAGCATTAACGTATATTTGATTGCTAGGTGGATCGCGGTATAAAATGCAGAAACAAATTCACACTCACTATGCTGCAGAGTCGTTGAGTTGGTACTCTCGTGACCGCGCAAAGCAATTCTGTATCCCGCTGTCACCCCACAATCGCCGAATCACGTTGGCCAGGTCATCGGGAAGGATGCCCTGTTCTTCAGCAGCTGCAGACAGGGCAAAGAGCTGCTGGGCATCATCCTGCAGGGGGCGAAATGGACACAGGGCATCAATGCCAAAACGTTTTTAAAAACTGTTATCCTTGACACAAGATAAAATTATATCCTCTCTATTTAGTGTATATATTTGTGTATTGATTACAACGATAATAATTTATAATTAAAGGATTGGTCTATCTTTATTCACACATATGATCTTTTGTACAACAAAAGAGTTAGCCACAGTCCTATATCTGTGAAAAAGCCAGTTTCAAATTCCGCTGAAGTTAAAATGAGTTGTACAGCAGTCTTAGAGAAAGCTCTTTTGTTTTGATGTGTTTTTTAGTACAAACATTCCTCTTTGAGCTTCAACAGAGACTGTTTGCTTGCTGAGTAACTTTGGAAGAAACCTGCTTTAATTTGTCCAACACAAGCTGCTGAAGCCTCATATTAGCTTTGGCTGGACTTTAAAATGCTTTGTTGCAGTAAAAAATTATTTTTTACTGTCTCTCTTATATTAAAATGAATATAAGAATGAGCTAGCATGGACAGGAAGAAGTACAGCGACCAATAACTCTTTTAATGTACTTATAGACATATTAGACTTGAAACAATGTGCATGTATCCTTTAAGGACACAATAAAGTCAGTTCTAGTAGTTAAGTATTCTTCAACTCCTATGAAGACTTGGCACTGTTGAGGTGATAACATCTTCTCAGGCATTAGTAAAGTATTTGGATACATAATGCAAAATATTGTGTACTCACAAAGGGCTGAGTCTCTGAACTAATGCCTAATTATAGTAGCAATATTACGAAATGGTGCCGTCAGTGAAACCTGTGATAAAAAGATGCCATCCAATCTGGACCGAGCACTAGATGAGATAAGTTAGTGTGACTCAAGCTAACAGCATTTATCACAGTGTGGCTTGACTTCCTGCTGTTTTCCATCTTGCTTGTTTTTCTAAATTTCCTCAGTCTTCCTGTTACCGCAAAATTAACAATCTTCTCTAAGCTTTATTCACAATGAGTGATAAAATAAACTCCAAAAAGCAATAATTAATTGCAGATCTTCTCTGTGCATGTGCGTGTATCAGCGTAGCAGTGATTCTGCAGAATATCTGAATATGTGTATAGTCATCATTAAAATAAAGGAATGATTCACAATTAAGAATACTTTTAACAATTCTGGCTGAAAACAATATCTTTACTGAGTGTCTGTGTGTGTGTGTGTGTGTGTGTGTGTATACATCTACTCTCCTTCGTGGGTAGTCATGTTGTTTTATTTCTAATGGATTTTCTTCAGCTGATTGATTTTTATTTACCTTGTTCTTAGGGAGAATCAATCACCACTTACAATTCTTTATTCTGAGGATAATAACGATTCATTTTATCGAGTGTTTGTGTCTGTATTCCAATGTTTGAAATAGAAATATAAGTTTAGTTCTGTTATTAATAATTAATTGCTGTTTAATAATTTGTTTTATTCTTGCAGTATTTGGTTGCAGCAAGATTACACACCACCAATGGCAGAACCACCTTTTGGATTATAAGTGATTTATACAATTTCTGAGAATGTGATATTTGAACTCTTCCTGTTCCCTCAACCAAATTGCAACAGCAAATAGCGTGGATAATGTGTGTGTGTGTGTGTGTGTGTGTGTGTGTTTCCAGTGCTGCTTTGTAAGTATGAGCAGGCTAGCACACTAATTGCTAGTGTGGGAGTCTGAGTATCGTCACGTACATACAACCATTTGACAGATCTGTCACAGACAGAAAAAGAGGCTATCTATCTTGCTCTAATGACCACAGCAGAGACCTCAATCCTCCAATTACAGTTTCAGTTACATCACACATATGCTGGCATCGCTGTAAAAACACTCTCCTTCACAGGAATGAGTTCAGCCACTGCTAGACCTCACTGACAGCTCCTTCACAGGTTGATAAGTATTCACAGGCTGCAGCAGACTAGATCTCTGACTGAAGCTGGGACTTGTTGTTGATGTTGGTGAAGTGTCTCTATGCGTGTTTCTGTACAAGAGTTTAATGAATGCACTGATGAGGTTCTGTGGATGCGTGTTAATTAGGGCTATGCTCGATTAATCAGATTGGTTTGACTAAGAATGTCCGAGGTTCCTGAAACCTGCATTCTATCAAATGACCAGCAGGGGGCAACTCTTCTGGTTGAAAAAAAAGTCTGGCTCCTTAGAAACAATGGTAAAATGACCCTACTTCTCAGCTGAATAATTACCTCAGTAAACACTTTCCTAATGAGTTTATGGTCTCAATCGCTAGTTTCATGTATTCTTCAATACAATGATGTTCATTTACTAATGGTCCTATTTAGAGGAAAATAGACTATAAAGCACAGTATGCTTTATGATTATCTATGATAGACAAGACGTTACCATGGCGAATTGTCAATCAGGCTGGTGTGACTCGTACCTACAGCACTGTGTAAATTTAACCAGCGCTGTTGAAAAAGCTTATTAGGAGTTGCCTGTTCACTTTTTTTGGTGAGTACATAAATTTTAAGGGTTAAGGGTTGTTCACTAGACAAAATTGTCAGCCCTGTTAAAATGACAGTTAACGTGAATTACAGTTGCACCTAGCTAAGCAAGCTAGCTAGCTCCACACACGGCCATTAGCTCCACCGTCTCGTCCAAATATGGTCATATCCAGTGCTGCTGGTTGCAAAAAATCCACATGGCGGCGACCTATCGGCCAAACTGGAGGCTTCAAAATGGCTGTCCACAGGTGACGTCACAATGACTATGTCCACTTCTTATATACAGTCTATGGAAAAAAACACACTCTCCGGCTGTTTCCAGCAGACTTGTTTTAGAAGTGTTTAGAGGTGTAGAAGGTCCGTTAATATGCACATGCTGGATGGCTATGATATAATGCTAAAAGACTTGATATGGAAACATGTAAGATCAAACTGGACTCACATGTTGTTCTACCTTTGACTGCGTAGCATATATTTTCAAACTATCTTTTCACTTTTACATTGTCTTCACTGTCACAAGAGAAAGGACTTTCAGGATCAGTTGGCAAAATCACACTTTCTCAGGTAACACTGGCTGTGGTTGCTAAAGTGTAAACTTCCCGAAACACAATAGAGCTGCTAATGTTAGCCTAAACTATGATTACTAAACAGCGAATGTGCTAGTTTCTAATGAGGCTTTTTGTAACTGAAACCTTAAGCCCACAAACTAACCTAGTAAGTTGCAAATAAAAACGGTGTCTATATTATTTACATTTTAACTTTTAACTTAATTTTTGTTTTGGGCAGGCTGAAAAAAAACACCACAATCCAAAATCTTTAAATGTAGAGTGTTGAACTTATTAACGGCATTTGAGATTCTGAACATTAATATTGCAGCATACAATTATGTAAAGATGTAGTGGAGTAATGGCGTCCTAAGCAGAGAATGACACACTAGCTCAGCCTGTGTTGTGATCCCAGCCTCTCTGTGCCTTGTTTATACAGCCGCTCTGACTGTGTGTGCATGTTAGTGCCCGTGAGTCCCTCCATGTGAAACTGTTGAGGAGAGCGAGAAAAGAGAGTTTCTTTTCTCAACTTTTTCTTTCGACCAAATCAGAGTTGGTGATTGTCAGAACAGTGAAAAGACTAACAATGACATTTTTGGTGAGTTTTATTTAGTTTCTGACCAGTTTGAATGAAGTGTGGTTTACGATGATCCTGCGGAGTAAAATCTTTAAGTGGAGTCTGGTGGGTGGTAGCAGCCATTTGTTTTGGTCTGAGATGCGGGTGCTCTAGTGCGACATTGAGTAGTCCAATGAACACTGCCGTAATATGTGGACAAATCCAAAGCTTGACATGCCTGTTTTGCCTAGTTAGAGTTGGTAAGCTATGATTGGAGCTTTTTGGGAGATTACCTGAAAGATGAATGACATGAAGAATCGCAGTTGTTTAAAAACAGAAACCAGACAATTCTAGGCCACCTGTAAGGTCTTCCATTTACAGATAGTAACCTTCAAAACAAATAATTAATTTGTGTCATTGCTGAGGCTGCAGAAAGCACCTGGCAAAGTAAAAGTGCAGTTAAAATGTGTCCTGCCAGCACTTTTGAATACATCCAATCCCCAAAACCGCCCTCAGCGGCATGTTTGCTGCTGCAGCAGCTGCTCGTATTTGTCAGCCTCTTCTCTGTTATTAGAACTTTGAGTAGACAGTTGATCAAAGATGAAGGAAGTGAAGTCTGTAAGACAAGGGCTGTATCCCCACAGGTTCAGAGAAGGATCAGAGAAGTATAACGCATTGTTCTAGTTTCTAGTATCAACATCAGTTTCACTGCTAAAAAAGGGCTGCTGTGAACAGGTGAATGTTGGAAATCACATGATCCCACATTTGCTTAAAACACTGGCCCAGCTTACCAGTGTTACTGACTGGACAAGAATGGCAGAGAGGAGGCATGATTTGAGAAACAAACCTGTTTTCCCAGAGGCATCAAAGCCTTGAAAATTGCTCACTTTGGGCTATGCTGGATGCTGGAAGTGAGAGAATGAAATGTTTGTTTCAAAGATATCAGAGTTTTTCATCTCTTTTATTCTGAGACAGAAAGAAAAGTGAAAGGGGCATAGTGGGTTGTAGAAACAAAGGCAAGCTCTTGGGATTTCCCTTTTGGGAAAGCATAAGTCTTGAGGACTTCACAACAACTGCAAGATGCTGTTTATAAAACAGGCATTGTTTTGTTGTGGCCTGAGGGAGATCCTCATCTGTCTATGGTTAGTAAGACCAACTGACTTTTCTCACACAACGGTGATGGCTTTCTGCTTTCACTCTTATAACACCACTGATTTTCAACAATTAACTTGGCACATTTACATTAGCTTGTATGCATAGGTACAGGATTATGCCTGCTTATACTCTGTATCCAGTTTTGTCTAGTCTAACCATGCTTATGCAATCAAATGTAATATTTTTGGACAAAAATAATGAATACTAATGAAATGATATATGCAGAAAAGCCAAGCTATACAAAAATACATCTTGTTTGTGTGCGAGTGAGTCTTACCACTCTGGAAGGGTTGCTGTAGTCTACCTTGAGACTGGCCATGGCTTTAACAATTGCCATAATAGACTGGATGGTGTTACTATAAACCACTGCTCGGTACTGCTTACACTCATCTTCTGAGTAGCCATCTTCATGGATGATCCTAAGAATGCCAAAAACATGCAACATTTACTAAAGTGTACATTAAAGGATAGGTACACCATTTTTTCCGTACTGTCTTAAAACAATAGACAAGTTCCCATGTGAACACTGAAACAAGGTTTTTCTTGCTGTAATCATTCCCATTCCTTCTGTTATAATTAAGTAATGAACATTAATAAGTTAAATGGTATGTTTATTAGTAACACTAATGGGTGTTGAAATGCAAAACATTTTGAAGCTGAAAGGTCTTTGTCTGCTTACAATTACTACCCTGTCTATCAAGAAGCATACTGTGTATATGTGCGGTTAACACACAGTGAAACTGCCTCAACTCTGCAGCATCCAGCTGATGAAGTATCCTGAGTTTACCTCTTGCATTAGTATTAGTCTGTACCTGAGAGTGAGGGAACTATGTGTGCATCCTATCGTGAGATGCAATCATCCAGACTTCGTCAGGCTGCAAAGGGAAGTGCAGTGAGAGCAAACTGAGAGGATGCCACATTAATTCTAAAGTAAAACTGCCTATTGCTTTTAATTGTTGCATTGATGCAAATGCTAACAAACAGTAACAGTTAAGCAAACAGATTTGCCTAATTTTTAAGCTGTTTTATGAAAACGGTTATATTTCCCTAACTTTCTCTGTAATGCTGTATTTACAAAGGATACATCGATGTGTAATGTTACATAATAGCCTAGTGTTATAAGTGTTTTTGTCTTGCAGGCTGGTTTATCTATATGCCTGTTAATAACCTGGCTTCAAAAAGCGACTGTTCCTGCTCCAAGCTCATAAAAAATGTATTCAATGCCTGGCTAGCCCAGGGGAATGTGAATAATTAAGCCATTTATGGTCCTGTGTGTGTGTGTGTGTGTGTGTGTGTGTGTGTGTGTGTGTGTGTGTGTGTGTGTGTGTGTGTGTGTGTGTGTGTGTGTGTGTGTGTGTGTGTGTGTGTATGTGTGCGTACTGATTGGTGCATAGGCATTACAATATTGTCTTTTAATGCTCATTCCTCTTGTGCTATGAGCAATAAAAGACAATAACAAACAGGGGAGGCTACAATGTCCCCTGGAAACCACATAGAAGAAAGTCAGTTTTATTTTGTCCAAAAATAACATGGTTACTGGAAATTACTGAGCTATAACTTAATTAATTTAATATGGCTCATGGTCAGTGACTGAGTGACTGAGCTAAACAAAGAAGATGAGATCTGTGAGGTATTGGCAACTTAAAAAATGAGCAGAGATTAGTCGGGTGTATGTGTGGGAATGTATTTTCCTGTTTGCATCTCTGCTGATTAGCTGGCTTGCCAAAACACATCAGGATTTTAAAATGAGCACATCATCTGCAGGTGAAACATTTCCTTCCAGCAACAACAGAAACACAAGTTTACAGATTCATTATTGTTCTCCCCTTGGCTTCTTTTGTGAAACAAGTATTATTATTATATTATCAAGAAACCATAAGCCCTTGGCCAGATTTGGTCTGGATTGGCTAGGTTATGAAATATAATGGGCTCACCCGACACACAAGTCAAGTTTCAAAGTGGAAACACTCATTTTGAGATGGGCAATCCATCTTTGGGTTTAACAGAAAAGACCAACAACTACAACAAGAAAAATAAAAATTGCTTATGTAACTTACTTCATCTGCTTTACAATGGTGCTCTTCCCAGACTCCCCAGCACCTGTTGGAACATTAAAAGATTAGAGTGGCAAAGGAATATCAAGCTCCTGTTGCTATTGTGTTTGTGTTGTGCATCACATTTTGTCCTTTGTGTTGCATGGTTTATTTATGTTTCCATTTTTGAGGTTATTATGTACATATGTATGCATGAAGAATTCCCTTGTTCATTGTTATGTTTATTTTTCTCTCTGATAGAAGAATGATGCAGGGAAGAGAGAGGGTTTCACGGCTCTTATGCTTCTGCATACTTTTTTCCAACTGCTGAGTACATGATGAAAGAAAAATGTAAAGGTGGCTTTAATATATCAACTACAAATTGCATGTATTTTTCAAAGCATATCATAGCTTTATATATTATTTTATAAAGGTCTCTGCTAGTTGTGGTACTATGGCACAAAACATTTTATATAATATATATGTGCTGTTTAGTCAATGAACTGAAACCAGTAGTATAGATTGTTACAGTCATGGCCAAAAGTGTTGGCACCCCTGAAATTTTTCCAGAAAATCAAGTATTTCTCACAGAAAAGTATTGCATTAACACATGTTTTGCTATACACATGTTTATTCCCCTTGTGTGTATTGGAACAAAACAAAAAAAAGCAAATTGGACATAATTGCACACAAAACCCCAAAAATGGACTGGACAAAATTATTGGCACCCTTTCAAAATTGTGGACAAATAAGATTGTTTCAAGCATGTGATGCTCCTTTAAACTCACCTGGGGCAAGTAACAGGTGTGAGCAATATATAAATCACACCTGAAATCAGATAAAAAGGAGAGAAGTTGACTGTGTATTGTGTGTCTGTGTGTACCACACTAAGCATGGACAACAGAAAGAGGAGAAGTGAACTGTCTGAGGACTTGAGAACCAAAATTGTGGAAAAATATCAACAATCTCAGGGGTTACAAGTCCATCTCCAGAGATCTAGATGTTCCTTTGTCCACAGTGCGCAGCATTATCAAGAAGTTTGCAACCCATGGCACTGTAGCTAATCTCCCTGCACGTGGACGGAAGAGAAAACTTGAGGAAAGGTTGCAACGCAGGATAGTCCGGATGGTGGATAAGCAGCCACAAACAAGTTCCAAAGAAATTCAAGCTGTCCTGCAGGCTCAGGGTGCATCAGTGTCAGCACGAACTATCCGTCGACATTTGAATGAAATGAAACGCTATGGCAGGAGACCCAGGAGGACCCCACTGCTGACACAGAGACATAAAAAAGCAAGACTACAGTTTGCCAAAATGCACTTGAGTAAGCCAAAATCCTTCTGGGAAAACGTCTTGTGGACAGATGAGACCAAGATAGAGCTTTTTGGTAAAGCACATCATTCTACTGTTTACTGAAAACGGAATGAGGCCTACAAAGAAAAGAACACAGTACCCACAGTCAAATATGGTGGAGGTTCAAAGATGTTTTGGGGTTGTTTTGCTGCCTCTGGCACTGGGTGCCTTGACTGTGTGCGAGGCATCATGAAATCTGAGGATTACCAAAGGATTTTGGGTTGCAATGTAGGGCCCACTGTCAAAAAGCTGGGTTTGCGTCTGAGATCGTGGGTCTTCCAGCAGGACAATGACCCCAAACATACTTTAAAAAGCACACAGAAATGGATGGCAATAAAACGCTAGAGAGTGCTGAAGTGGCCAGATCTAAATCCCATTGAACACCTGTGGAGAGATCTTAAAATTGCTGTTGGGAAAAGGCGCCCTTCCAATATGAGAGACCTGGAGCAGTTTGCAAAGAAAGAGTGGTCCAAAATACCAGGTGAGAGGTGTAAGAAGCTTAGTGATGGTTATAGGAAGCGATTGATTTCAGTTATTTTTTCCAAAGGGTGTGCAACCAAATATTAAGTTAAGGGTGCCAATAATTTTGTCCAGCACATTTTTGGAGTTTTGTGTGCAATTATGTCCAATGTGCTTTTTTACCTTCTTTTTTTTTTGTTCCAATACACACAAGGGGAATAAACATGTGTATAGCAAAACATGTGTTAATGCAATACCTTTCTGTGAGAAATACTTGATTTTCTGAAAAAATTTCAGGGGTGCCAACACTTTTGGCCATGACTGTAGCTGTAAATGTAAGACACGCTGGGCAAGAAAATTCCTAGTCCTGTGGATTAAAATAAAGAATTAAAGATCCATTAAGAATTAAAATTAAGAGCATTAGTGCTGAAAAAGCCAAGAAAAAAATGTCTGTGCCACACAGAGGTCATATACACACAATTCACAAGTCAGCAATAAGTTTTGTTTCTTAGTAAATAAACCTACTGGTCTGAATTAAGAATATCTTGAGCCGTGCTTCAGAACCATAGTTATCTTGTTGAAATGAATAATCCAGATTCTTTGGCACTTCACTTGTGCTGTCAGGACCATGCCACCATGCACTGTCCCATTACACCACCTGACCAAGACCTGCCAAAATCCATTAGCCCAGGCATGTGCTGATGGAGCAACCGGGACCAGCCATGATCACCCCTCATGTCAACCCTCATCACACTCATACACATCCAGCACTTTTCTGAGAGAGAGGGAGGAAGACAGGGCAAAGGGAGGGGTGTAAAAGCCATGTTAGGGCTGTATTTGCTGTCATATTAACTGTTTCTCATGAATTGCTGCAATACATGCTCGAAAGGCAGGGAGGTAGCTTGGATGGATCTCTAGGTGATTCTCTCTGTGACAAAAAATAAACAGCAACCCAGCACCATGGTATGGTTATCTTATATTTCTCCTCAAATTGTGAGATTAATTTTCACCTTTCTCTTTAATCCGTTTGTGGTTCTAACTTAGACCTGAGTGAATCCTGAAGTTGAAACGTTTTAATCCTACTTCAAGCTAATCATGATAAAATTATGTAACTAGGCTGCTGCTTTTATTCATTCGCCATGCTATCTAGGAACACGATGTTTTCTCACAGGGCTTATTAAGTTTCTTCTTTTAGACTGCCATCTATTTCCATCTGGAACATCAAGGTTTCCTTTTATGCATTAAATATGAACAAATAATATAAATACAGAATCAGAGTTATAGCCCTTTGTATTTAAATTAAAAATAAATGTGGGTGGTGGAAAGCAGAATATTGGTCTCTCTGTGGACACACACATGCATGAAGGTCACCTTTCTGACTCCAGAATAAAAAGCCATTAATATTTCAAGTCCAATGGGAGGTTAACACTTGTTAACAGCAGTGAAAAAGAAGAGCACCCTCATTCTTCGTGGTCAAGGTGTTTTAGGAGGCAATGTAGTCATTCTGCTTGAGGGGAACCTTTGAATTATGATCAAAATAAATAATTATTTATCTCTATTTCTCTGAAAAACATAAAAATTATATAGTAGAGCCTAAACGATAGTGGGTTTCTGTGGAACATATTGATATTTGAGAGATAAAGTAATTCCATGGGCTAAAGTGGGTGTAGGTGCATGTTTGTGTGTAGACATGTGAGTGCGGAAAATGGCTGATCCAAAATGGCGGGCAGGTCTGGGCCAAAATGGCCCTCTTTCTGTACTCATCCTAAAAAGTATTTTAGTCTAGTTTTAGTCATTAATCATCATTTTAGTCTTTTCTGACTCATTAGTATAATTTTCATTAGCATTTTGGTCTGCTCGAACCAAAATAGAGATATGATTCGAATGTTAGTTTAATGATAAAGAAATATAGAGATTAATGGCAATAAAGCAAGCTGTCAATATTTTAGAGACCCCCCAAAATATCACAAATCATGTGATATCTAAGCACCTCTTTCTCCCTAGGATGTTGTGTGCATCACTAGAGTTCACATCTTCCACAATAACGTTTTTCTCGCACACCAAGCATCGCCCCAGTCGGCCAGCATTCAAAGCACAGGAAAAAAAAAATACTGCTGAATGAACACTGTTCATGGTAGGCCTATTGTAGAATAGAGCCATATTATTCATGGTGATGTTCAAACTCCTGTGAACCAAATATAGAAAGATTTTACACCTATACAAGATCCTGGTTGCCATGGCTAGATACAATATACAGTTCTACACTCTATCATACAGCAACCAGCAGTGAATTTTGCATTCGGTCGGCGGGTAATGGACTTGATAGTGTCGCTATTGTCTCTGCACGCATTAGCAGGAGTTAGCACAAACAATACAAGTCTTAACTACTGTGGTAAAACAATAACGGCCACTCTATCACACAGCGACTGGTAGAAAACTTGCATTCAGCCACCGTGTTACTGGACTTGCACCTCCGGGGATTCCCTCCACTTCCGTGAGGGCTCCTTCAATGGAAATCCAGTGTTTGGTTTCAAATTAAAAGTCACACCTAAGTGCAAATATACGGAAAAAGGATTTTGGCTCTATATTTTTCTTTGCAGTCCTTTTGTTTCCATGCAGGACACATGGACAGGCTTCTGATGTAAGGCAACTGATGTACCATAACAACGTGTTCTCATCTCAGTAAGTCATTACCGACGCTTTCAGACAGCGTGACAAAGCGTAATTATTTTACGCTAAAGGTACCCTTCAGCGTCCGTATGAAACGCCACCATTTGCTAAGTTGAAGCAACACAAAGGAGGCTAACTACCTGCTAACACATCGGTAGCAGGTAGGGTTAGCCGGTCGACATGCATAAAGTCAGTGACTTATTCATGATAACATTTCTGATGGTTATGGTAAGGGTAAGGGGTTTCGGGGGGCCGTCAACACTAGCTATGTAGGCGCTGTTCCTTTAAGGTGAGACATATTAACCTGTTGTTTTTATTTATGTGCCTCTGATTAGTCCATTGACAGAGACATCCAGTTTCTAAAAGGTACGATTGGTTAGAGGTGGGACTAGCAGTCAGAGGAGCTGGAGGAGCAGAAAAACGAGGGAGACATGCGAGAGAACTAGACTCTACAGTGTGAGTGTGCGACTGTATTTTGAGTGGCGAATAGCTACGAAACAAGACGAATAACAGAGCATAGAGACCCCAGTGTTAGCCTGACTCATTTATGAGAAGTTTTGTGGACATTACTGTATATCATTGAGCTAA